ACAGAGCCAAAGATGTTGCTTCCGAGAATGATGACCAGCTCCCTCATTTGTCCTTTCAGTTCTGCTATTTCACGGCTGAGGTCCTGGTATCGAGTTTGGTTGCCCAGTCTTCCCCTTTTAAGGAACAGGGGTGGAAAAGGGGAAGTGCCACTTAAGAAGGATTCCTGCCACAAGAAAGCAAATAAAGACGAGAACGCTTACTTAGGTCTCATTTAGTACGGTTCGTTTATTTATTTTATGCCGTGGCTTGATCATAATTGCACTGCCATACACTTTTTTTTGCGAAGCTTTACCTTATTTGTAGCATAAGTACAGCGTTCTTTTATGTTACTCACAAATGCGCAAAACTAAACAGTAGAAATAATTGGAGCATAGGCAGAGAACCTCAACAACCAAACACCCATTTTAGCTGCATTTGACATGAGTATAAAAATTTTGTTGGTCAGAGCACCGTGATAACTAGAATATTTGTAAATTTTAATCCCTATTAATTTTTTAATTTCCGCGATTCAGATTTACTTGCAGTCACTTTATACAAAAGGGAGATATCAATACAATTTAGGAATTATCAAGTAACATGGTGATCAACCTACCGCCAGCTGCATGCCAAAAATGAGTCCTCCCATGAGTTGGGTGCCATTTTGCAGGCATGAATTAAACTGCTGGCTCGCAACGGAGCTTGGAATTTGGCCAAAGAGAAGCGAGTAGATTTTTAAGTGTTCCAGGTCAAATTCTAATCTTTGGAGTACCTGTTTGGAAAGAAAATGAGATTATGTTAATCATTCCTACCCTAACCGACGTCCGTTCATGGACATTCCCTTCGCTGGTCTCAGTACAAATGTCTGATTTTATGGTCAGATAGTATCTCCACTATGACATATCTTATTCTCAAGATTTCACCACGTAAACGACTAAGTTTGTATTATGACTGAGGTAGAGATATATCCTGATTTGCGCCACATCAATGTTCAGGAAAGCGTCATTAGTTTTGATCGAGGCCTACAGTCTTACATAGACTTCTTTATGGTGTGGGGTGGCAATAGTGGAAACAGACCTTCAGACAAAAATGCAGTCCACCCTTAAAGCTTGGCTCTGCAGAATGGTTCTCTCTTACCATGGCGTCCCGCTTTGCTGGCCAGGTTTTCAGTAAAACTGGGAAGCAGGTATTCCAGGGTCCTCTAGAACCCCCACCTAGGAATTGAAGCTGTTTTCTAGACCAAGGGAAGCAGACCAAATACTAGGCAGGTACCTAAGGTTCGCCTATAGATCCGCCACCGGGGAATGGACAATTCCCTATATGAGACGCGCCTGCAGGGAATCATGGTAGTTGTACTCATTATCTTGGACTGGATATTTGTTTTCGTGAATACAACTACCATGATTCCCTGCACGCGAGTCTCGTAGAGGGAATTGGCCGGTAAGGTTGTTTGTGGGAAGGGGCCAAATGCTAGGCAGGTCCCTCTAGACCCACAACCGGAGAGTTAAGGCTCTTCC